AAAAGGTGGAAAACAGATACTGGTTTGGTACTTCATTATACATTCTCTCTTCATGATAAAGCTGTGTATTTCAGAGACTATAAATTATTTTTCTTTCATTAAGAAAGTTATCTCAAAGAAATCATACGAGGCACATTGAGAGCTTCGAGGAATCTGGAGAGATGGTAGCTAGTTAGCTGACAGCAGTCAAATTAGTTTTACTGTTGCCATTTCTAGTATTTGTGAAGTTGTATTTCAGGAAGAAAAAAGCCCCTTGGAGCACACTTCCCACATTTTGGGCAATCACAAGCAGCTTTAGATAGGTATAAGTGTCAGGGATCAGAAAGATACAGCAAGGCATGCAGGGCAGGGTGCTCTCTAAGAAGAGATGCAGTACCACTGTATTCAGGCCAGAAGAACTGGACTTTTAATTCTCTTTCTGACAGTACATCTTTGGTTCAACTGAAATAGTTAGAAAGATTGCCTAGAATCTTGGTGTCGTGGGTTTCTGTGGCTGGGTTTTGGTTGCAGGGCGGGGCTACAGGGTTGGCTTCTGTTAGAAGCTGCTAGAAACTTCCACTGTCCTATGGAGACAATGCCAGTCAGCTCCAGGATGGGCTTCTTGCTGCCGGCCAAGGCTGAGCCAATTAAGAGTGATAGTAACGTCTCTGTGATAACATATTTAAGGATAGAGGAGCGTTGCGCAGAAGAAATTCCAGCCAGGGAAGAGTGGAGTGAGAACATGGGATAACAACATAGACACCAAGGTCAGTGCAGAAGGAGTGGGAGGAGGGACCCCACAGGAGCAGGGGAAGGACTCAGAGCTGAGGCCCCTGCAGCCCATGGGGGGCCATCAGGGTGCAGAGACCCCCCTGCAGCCCACGGAGAAGCCTGTGCTGGAGCTGGTGGATACATGAAGGAGGCTGTGACCCTGTGGGAGGCCCATGATGGAGAGGGGTCCTGCATGAGACCTGTGGCCCGTGGAGAGGGAAACCCACGCTGGAGCAGGTTTTTCCCAGACAGGACTTGTGACCCTGTGAGGGACTTACATTGGTACATCTCATCTGTGAAGGACTGCACCCCATGGAGGAGTGACCCATGGGACAGCAGTTTGGGAAGAACTGCTGCCCAAGGGATGGCATCACATTGGAGAGGTCCATCAAAGACTGTCTCCCGTGGGAGGGACTCAGAGCTGTGGCCCCCTGTAACCCACTACACTTGGTAAGCCTTCTTTTGTTCTGCTATGTCCCATGGCTAACAGATTTCTTACAGTGTCTGCCTGCCAGCAGGTCCTACAGCCATGAGGTTGCAAGCAAGGACATTTCAGTGTGGCTGGAATATAGGAAAAGGATATTCAGTCCTGAATGAAGAAATGTCCTAGTTTGAAGATTTCTGGAGAAGTGACCTTTCTTAATCCAGTGGAGGCCTGATCTCAAGAACTGTGAACGCTTGTGCCTTCAATGTTATTAGACCAAGCATTGAAGGAAAGAGGGAAGCCACTACTAGAATGCCCTGTTGGAAGAGATTCTAAGAGTCTGTTCAATTTTTCTGAGTGACCCAAAAGTACTGAAAAGTGAGAGTTGAGGGCCAAGCACCCAAAAGGCATAAAAGTTCTAAAAGACCTGCCATCTTAATCTAGTTTTATTTAATTTACAATAGAGATTCCAACTGTAACTTGAATGGCTTCTTTTCCATTATCTTCAATTATGCTTTTTCTACAGTTCATTTAATCTCCACACATCTTGCAAGACTCCCTCCATGACTTCTGTCCCTCTGGTGAAGACTCTTCACCTTCATCTTGGAGTGGGACCTAGACAAGGTGAACACTATTCCTGAGATAAGTTATTAAAGAAAACACAACAAAGCATTCTCTGTTTTCCATCAAGACATGCTGGTCCTTATTGTCCCAGTACAAGAAGAAAATTCAGTCTCTGCCTGCAAAATATCATTCCAAATGCAATTTTTTAGACTTAACACCATAAGGAAATAGAGAACTGTTATCTTACAGCATTTCAGACTTCACAATGATGTGTAGTGAAGCATCAAACGGGTCTCTAATAAGGGCACATCACAAAGACTCCGTTTGTAGAAGGACTACCCCATTGTGGTCATTCAAGCTATTAGAGGATTTTCTTAATAAAAAGCAACTTTATTTATTATTTCTACAGTCAAACAGAAAGGATGTTTGCATAAGGACTTCTTGCTGCACTTTTAGATAGAAGCAAAGTCACGGACATGCCAGTATAGCGTGGCAGCTTCCTGTCATGCATCATGGCTAGGCTTCGCGAACGAAGATTCAAGAGGGGCTCTACCCACGCTTGCTACAAGCACGCTGATGGCTAAAAAGGCCAATGCGAGATAGACAAGTCCGGTTGCAGAAGGCACAGCAGAAAGACTCCCCAGGTGATATCAACAAGACGCAATTCTTTCTGCGTTGTCTTTTCTCCTCGAGAGTGATCCTGCGTGTGTTCTCAAAAGCAGCAGCAGCGTTATAGATGGTGTGTCTCCAGGCCTCCCGATTGGAGGCCAGGGTAGACCAAGGGTGGTGATCAATATGGCCAAGGCTGAGGGATTGTTTCAGGCAGTCCTTGTATCTCCTCTTCGGGGCTCCTCTCTTGTGGCAGCCAGTGGCAAGTTCCCCATAGAGCATGATTTTAGGGAGGCGATGATCCTGCATCCTGGAGATGTGCCCTGCCCAACGCAGCTGAGTTCTCAGCAGCATGGCCTCAATGCTCACAACTGCTGCCTGTTCAAGGACAGACGTGTTGGACACGTAGTTAGTCCAGTGGATGTTAAGGATTGTACGGAGGCAGCACTGATGGAAGCGTTCTAAGAGACGCAAGTGTTGCCGGTAAATGACCCATGATTCAGAACCATATAGAAGAATAGACAGTACAATGGCTCTGTAAACACTGATCTTTGTACTTTTCTTCAGGTGTTTGTTTTGCCACACTCTTTTACGGAGTTTACCAAAAGCACTGTATGCCTTTGCTAACCTACAGCAGCTTCCTGTAGCTCCTTTAACAGTGCGCTGGCTGAGTTTATCCTGTGACGATGGGATATGCCCAGCACAGCATAGGCCTGAAGGTCATTCTGTACGTGGCTGCACTTGGGTTAACTATTGTGCGGACACTAGAGTCTCAAAGCAGAATGGCCCTTCCAAGCCCACCAGGGTGGAGGCACACTGCAGTCTGTGCTCCAGCACCACACCCTGTGTGCACGCTGTGGTGTCTGACCTCATTTCTATGGAGTCTACAATTCTAGAGGAGGCTTTGGAGAATAAAAACAGGTACCTGTAACATCAGTGAGTGATCAGGAGAGATATCATGACTTTGGGGGTCAAACTTCGAGCATAGCTGTTACCTGGGCTTTGTAGTCTGGTGTTGGAAAATGGGGCTAGAGGGGGTGCCAAAGGCACAGCCTCTGTCCCATAGGCACTGACTCCAGGGAAAGCACTGTGGCTGGAGTATCATACTCGTGGCCTCTGCTCAGGCCCCTTCCGCAAAATCACCTTGACAGAAGCATTTATGAAAGCTGACTCTGACCTAACAGGAATTTAAGGGAGAGAGACTTTCTGGTGTCCTTAGAATGAGAAAACAAAGTAACAACAGGAGAGTGGTTCTTGATTTATGTTCTAAATTCTGATTTATTCTCATGAAGAGAACTCCACTATGAGCAAGGTCTCTGGAGTGATCTATGCAGAACATTACCTTGCAGAATGTTTGTATAAATATCTAAAGGGAGGGTGCCAAGAGGACAGAGCCAGGCTCTTCTCGGTGGTACCAAGCAACGGGACAAGAGGCAATGGGCACAAACTGATGCACAGAAGTTCCACCTGAACTTGATGAAGAACTTCTTTACTTTGTGGGTGAGTGTACACTGGAACAGATTGCCGAGAGAGGCTGTGGAGTCTCCCTCACCAGAGATATTCCAGAACCATCCGAACACAATCCCAGGCAATGTGCTCTGGCATGACCCTGCTTGAGCAGGGAGGTTGAGCCTGATGTGCCTCTGTGGACCCTGAACCATTCTGTAATTCTGTGAGAATGGACAAGAATGCCCCTAACAACTAGAGGTTTCATCAAGGAAAATGTCATTTTTTCCCTGCCCCCTTACATTAATTCTCTCTCAGCAGCGTGCTCTCACCTTTTGTAGTTACAGATGTGGAGAGGAAAAAACTGAAACCGCACACACAGTAACTGTCTCCCAGTTGCTTTGTACCACTTCTGTGGAGACCGCTGCTACTGTGGAGTTCCCTGTCGCCGGGGCGATATCACTTGCGATGTCGCGCAGGGGTGAGCTGCTGGAGGGTGCTGGAGGGCAAATCTGGAAGGGCTGCAAGTGTCGTGCACCCCACACCCCCCTCAAGGCAGGTCAGCGCCGTGCGGAGCAGCCTCCCCTCAGAGGCACCTACTCCTAAGACAAGTCAGGCAGGACCGAGCGTAGAACCGAGAGCTTTTGTGAGCTGCCGCCCCGCTTCCACGGCTGAGCGCCAGCGACGGAACACCTCTGCCATGTGGTAACAAAGCCGCTGTCTGAGTGCCCTGAGAGGAACCCCCGCCCCCGAGCGCAGCGCTCTGAGAGGTGGCCCCTCCCCACCCAGCGCGCGCCCAACGGCCCCCGGCGCCCTCTGATGACGCCACGTCTCGCCCGGCGTCCGACAGCCCTCGCTCGACCCCGCCGCCGCCGCCGAAGCCGGCCCCGCGCATGCGCGCTGTTGCGAGAGGCGCCGCGTCCCTTCCCATTCCCGCTGCCCGGCCCGCGGGCCGCGCCCCTCCCCCCCCTCGCGCCCCCTCGCGCCGCCCGTTGCCCGCGCGGGGCCAGCACGCGCCCCCGGCCCTCGGTAGCGGGGGAGGGAACTGCGCGCGCGAACCGGAATGCGGCGGAGCCCCCGCCGGCGGCGCCAGGGAGGGGGCGGGCCCTGAGGGCGAGGGCGCGGTCCCCGGGCGGGCGGGGCCGCGAGCAGGCCCGGGCGGTGCTTGTCCCGCGGCTGGCGCGTCCCGCCCCCCGGTGCGGGGGCAGGGCCGGGGCCGTGCCGGGGGCTGAGCCAGGGCCGTGTCCGCAGGTGAGCCCCGTGCGGATGCGGCGACCGGGCGAGGGGCAGCGCCGCGGTGCCCGGGCGGTGCCGAGGGGCCGGCCCGGGGCAGGAGACGCGGATTCCGGCGGAGACTTCCCAGCCGATCGGCCCGGCGCCCTTCGGAGCGGGATGGAGGAGCCCGACAAGGAGGGAGATGGTGCCGGAGGGAAGACCGCCTGGCAGCAGAGCCTGAGTCCCGAGCTGCAGCAGGGATACCGAATCCTGCGCGAGTTCCTGCTGGAGAAGTATCGGCCTCTGACGGCGCCGTTCCTGGAGCCCCTCGCGGATCAGGCATCTTTCGGAGAAGGCGGCGCCGGCTCCCCCTCGGGCCATAACAGCGGCCAGTCCCTTCAGCAGCTGCCAACTGGAATATGGCTGTTGAAGATGGAAGAGAAATTTTCCAGCGGGCAGTACACAGGGATAGCAGATTTCGTGTGTGACTTCCGGCTCATGCTGGAGACTTGCTATCGACTGCATGGTGTGGATCACTGGCTCTCCAAACAGGCCCAGAAGCTGGAGATGATGCTGGAACAGAAGTTGGCGCTGCTGTCCCGGTATGTGTAGAAAAGTCTATAGGTGCCCTGCCGCATGTTGTTTACATGAAGTAGAACAGGGGGGTATATATTTCTTTGTGTGAAAATTTTCATTAAAAGAGAACAAACATCAATCCAAACCAAACAAAGCCCCAGTACAGAACAGTGGAACTCTCAATACTTTCATGTGAGGAACGTTTCCTACTATAAACTATTCAAATCTTAATTCACAACTCTTTGGAAATTCCAAACCTGGATATTCCAAAAATAATTCCAAACCAAAATGCCAAACAGAGCAGAGCATTTCCTCGCTAAGATTTTCCTCCTGAAAGAAGCCTTTTGTGAACATGGAGGCATACGCGTTTACACAAGATGTCAAATGCTTCTTTATTTATCATAAAACTGCCTAAACTCTGTATGAATATCTGGCTCTTTAAAATTGTTTTTTGAAATTTTTACTGTCTTTAAAATAAGTAGGAGTAAAATCTTGAGCCAAAGTTACCTGCTTTGACATGGCATAATTTTTGATACTCATAAAACGAATGATAGTGCTTGGAATACTGTAGTCTTAAATGGAAAAATGTAAATTGTGCTAAGTTTAAATATAAGTCCTCGGCAGGAACTTATTTATCAGCCAAAGCAGCCTAAACATAGAAAGATGTTGAGCTACCTGGTAGAAAAGCCAGTTTAAATCACGACTGAAGTAAATGCTTTCTCATGAGTTTATCATAGGCATAGTTCAGTCATTATCAGAAACTGATGGTGGCTTCTTACAATGAAAGGCCCACCAGTCTCCTGAATGACATAGTATTTTGCATGTAAAATCCAGAAGTTTATTTTAGCTAAGGGTGAAGATGAAGAAGGAACAGTATTGGGAAGTTTGTTAAGCTGTGCATGTCCATCAGCTTTCAGCTTTTAGTTACACAGAGCATGAGCTGCCAGGTGGTAAAAACAACCTTGCTTGTGTAGTAGGAACACTTGAGGAGTGTGGTGCAGAACTCAGCTGAAACCGGAGTGAACCTATGCATTCTACTGTAGCAACAGTATATTTAAAACTATTTCTGTGTAACAGCAGTTTTGGGACAGTTTGCAAGAAAGGAAGGAGCAAAACCTAATGGAGCATGCATGTTGCTAGTTTGCTTGAGTAAAACTTGGTTTAAAAAAAAAAATCAGAATTCCTGGCTTAGTAATATGCTGCAAATAAAGAACCAAATGCAGCTTGGAAAATCTGTGCCATGTTCATTACTGTGTGTTTTGTGACTGTAGCATCTGTACTGTATTGAATTACGGGGCATTTTGTTGAAGGCTCTTGGTTGAATGAAGTGACTGCTCATTTCGTTTGGTAGAACCCGAGAATGCTCAATTCTGTTTTGTTAGAAATTACGTTAGAAAGTGAAGTCAGTTTACGCACTGTGCCATCAAATAGCAATCTATGTATTTACTAAAAAAGAAGTCAATTGCCCATGTAATTCTTTCAGAAATGCAGAGTCATTTTCAAATAAATATTAGGAAATACTAAACTAAAAATAATCCTGCCTCAGTACATAGTGAATTTCTCTTGTATTAACTCTTCAGAGATTTGTAAAGATATATTCAATATGTCTGTGTGCACTTGCTTAGTAAAAGTTTCTAAGAACTAGATATAGAAAGGATTATGGAATCTAGAAGTCTCAAAAATCTTTTATAATTTTTGATTGCACAATTTTGTTTTAAGTGTTTACCAGACCTAATTTTATGAGTAAAATAAAATTGAAGTACTACTTCCTGGAATAATCACTCTTGCATTATTACAGAGCAGTGTTTAGCTCAATGATCCCCTTCAAGTGGTGCAAGGAAATCAATCAGTGTTGGTTGTACAATTCTCAGATACTACAAACCACAGGAAATTACCTTAGAGTGGAGATTACTTTTGAACAGGGTTTGGATTTTTCCCCTCTGTCCCCTTAAATGTTTTCAGAGTTTGTGAATAACTGGTCCCAGTTTTAAGGGAGTATTTTGAAACAATGTAGGATGAAATGAAACTTTGCAGCCGAATTTGTAGTGTTTTACCTTTCATCTTTTGTAGTTTTAAACAGAACTAAACTGGTGTTTAGCACACACTTCTCCAACCTAAACCAACGAAAACACCTTTCCCCCCCACCGAGATATTTATGGATTAATATAGAGAATTCAGTCTCGAAATAATATTTGGTTACTTGAGGTGAAGGTGCACCATTTTTAACTGATGTGAAAACACAGGGCATATTAGCATATTGGGTTTAAGTATAAAATTTCTTAAAGGAACTTGTAAACTGCTTTTGTCTGAGTAAATATGCTTGATCCATGATTGGTAGGGAAGGCATTGAAGTACTACTGGTAAGGATAGTCATAGTTGTGAATTGGCTTGCTTTTTTCTTCTAGGCATTTAAGAGAGAAAACATCATTAGCTGTCACATCTAGAGGATGCTATGGGCAGGAAGATGAGAAAGGAACAGCATGCATTTCCACAAGACGTCGTTCCACACCTCGCAGTTTAGTAGGCTTGTCAACAGGCATGTTTGAGTCTGTGATGGTTCAGGTTCTAAGACAAGAGGAGCAGCTGAGAGCAAAAGAGGAAAAGAGGTAATAGGAAAAACCATTTTGTTTTAGTTTTAAGTATTTATGTCTTCCTAGTTCTCTACAGGAGCTAGCTCCTTATAGCTTTTTTTGGTAAATAAATATTGTGGGGCTCTTGTGGTCTTAAGTTTGTGACTTCAATACAGTACATCCACAAAGCAAAATGTTAGTACCACCTTCTGGAAAAATTGCTGAAATCATAGAATTCACCACATAATGAAGAAGTCATTACATTAAATTATAGCTGCTTTTATTATTGGATTGTGAAACTTTTAAGAGTAATTAAAAACATCTACAACAATTTCCTGTTAGCTCATTTGCAGGTTATCACCCATGTCCTTGGACTGTTTTTCATGCAAGAACTGGATTAAAAACTACCAGAATGCTTAACTAGAATCTAATTCTGTGATCTTGTCACCGCTTCCCTCATTGATAGCCAGAAGCAAATTAGATCTGCCAGTGCCACTGCTGTTAACTCACTGATGTGGCATTCCAGCTTGTCAGTTAGGTAACACATTTAGAATGTGTGTGTAATTAAAATCTGTGGGATTTTGAGGTATATCATTACAGGCAATGTTTAATGTTAATATGTTTCACTTTGAGGAACAAGAAGCTTATAAGCTTGTATATTTTAATAGTAACTTGAGTGACTGTGTCTGAAAGTGGAGCGTGATGGAAAGACAGCATTTGCTTTAGGAAGCAAAATGTTTCTAGCTTTTTTCAAAGCTTTGGAGACTTCTTTCCATATGTAACCAGTTCACTCTAATTTTGCAGGTAATCTTGATTTTCAGCAGATTTGAAGCTATTTGGCTGACTTTACTGTTAGATAGTATTTTTTCCCTAGAAAAGAGTGAATCTTTCTTCTAATGCACTCATCTTCTAATCACACTTCACAAAAAAAAAAAAAGAGAAAAGCAAAGATCACTACCATTATTGTTTCTCTGGTAAAAGTCTCTTGATTTTTGCTCAACTTCGTGTTCTAGAACTCAGAACTTGATAAAACTGTTATGAAAAAGGACATTTTGATTGTATTTTAGTTCATCCATAGAGTCTGTGGAGCATTTTACCAGACAAAGAAACAATTTGGCTTTCATACACCTGTTTTAAGCTCATTCCTGTAAAACTGTAGTAATTAACAGTTAAATCCATGTATCTGGATATACTCAAAAGTCCCAGATCCTGTGCAAATGATACTCCACAGTGCTTGGTTCTTCAGAAAATTCTATGATATGAAGATCACAACAAGCTTGCCTTTTTACACCCTAAAATGTTGAACTATACCACTTACTGTGAAGCAATAAAACTCTATCACTAGGTAGCTGGTTGAATATTTCTTTGACTCTATTGAGCTACTCAAATAATCATGCTTCAGATAGCTTCTGAAGTTTTATTTCCTAGTAGATCCCACCATGTTTTCAAAGTAATTTGGATCTCTCTCTGTCAATTGCTTCCCAACTCGCAAAAAATGTTTCAAAAGAACCTTTCAGTATTATTTTATGAAAAAGGCTTGGAAATTGGAAGACCTATAAAATTTTTAATATATTACCATATAGATCACGATACAGTGTATATAAAGTGTTGTATTTATAAATGCACATACTTTCAATGCTAAGGACACTGTATTTATTAAAAAATATATTTCAACTTTCTAAACTTATTTTGGCTTATTGCTAAAGTATAGATTATGTTGTTAAGAAGAGAAAATGGTTATTCTGCCTTTTTTTTTTTTAGAATCTGATACACTGAGTTTGGCACAGAAGGAGTACTTTCAAAATTAAATACAAGATTGCAGGCTTGGATATCTCAGTTGGAGAACACAATGCTGGCAAATCAGTTGTATTTGGATAGGCAGCATCTGATGTTCACCCAACTTTTAGATGAGTTGTCAGGAACATAATAAAATGCTCCCTTTCTACCATCCAGTGGACCCCTCAGCGTGCATGTACCTTCTAGCCAGTAATTATCCTGGTTTAGAATGCTTAGGAATTACATGCTTTCAGTCCCAAATAGCTAAGGCTGTAAATTCAAGGGCCTCTCTACAAAACAGCTTCATACCTAAAGAAATTGCCTGTTGAAATATAATTTTATATCTAATTCTTTGCTCTAGATATTTATATATTCTTGTAAGGCACAGGCATCTTATAATGAGTATTAAATAAAACTAAAATTAAATTTAAAATACTAAAATATACAAATAAATATAATAATGTATATTTTATATAAAAATAAAATATAAATTTAATTAGTAAATTAAATACTTTTAAAAGTTTGGGCTTTCCCTTCCACTCCCCCCCAAATCCTTGACAATGATTTTGCAAACTTTTTTTCAACTTCATATTTTGGAAGGACATCCTGAAGTGTGATTTTTATCTTCTTTTCTGTAGTTAGCTTCATGGAAATCCTCCTCCAAATCCTACCTGTGATTTTGTTATATGGGTGTCCTTTGTTGAGAGTTCTCTTTTTCTTGCAGTTTATCCATTTCTTGCACAATCAGTTTCATTTTTTTTTTTATTCAATGTTTTATAACTTCCTCCACATTCATCATGGTAGACTCAGCATATGAAACTAAGATGTCATTGCAAAGCAAATTCCATTATTTTGCAGATAATAATTTCTGTACAGTAGCAATAGCACTTTTTCCCAAGCTTTCCTTTTGTTCAATTATTCTTATTATCAGAACATTGACCATCTTCTTTGGATTATTTATTAAATTTCTATGAGTTTTTATTCAACGGTTTGGTTACATGCTAATATACATATACATAGCAATATACATACTAATTTACATACCAGTTAACAATAAATAATTGTGGAATTATTTTTAAATTGGAAATGCCTGGTTAGGCACTGAAACATAGAGGTAGATTCCTACTGAAATTTTTAAAGCCACTGGTGAATGACAGATAATTAACTGGTTGATTTCAGTGGGAATTAAGTGTCTGTATGACTTGGTTTGTTGAAAGTTATGCTAGGCATAACTTCACCATCTCTGAAAACATGATCCTAGGATAAATTTTAGATGTGTTCATTAGAACATTGAAAGAATTCAATTCTGGTTGCAAGTTAGTAAGCTAATTTAGCAAATTATGGAATAAAGTATGTTTATATAGTCAGTTTTACTGTTTATGAGGATGTTAACGTGGAATTAACACGTTAATCCTAGAGAAAAATATAGAGTATGTTATAATATGATGTAAGCCATTACAGATACAGATTACATGGGCATCTCCCAATTTAATATCTTGTGAGTGTTACACCTTGACTTAATTTAGATTAAGGTGTAATAATGCTAATTTGTACATAACTTTCTATTTAATTTTTTAAAAGAAAGTTTGTAGAAACAAGTTACTGTAGAATTAAAACAATTCTCTGTATCTTGTCGTTAGAGTTCCAGTGTCTACCTTTTACCTGAATCAACACCTAAGTAGGTTAGAAATGGTAATTGGGGGAACAAATAACATCTAATCATTGTATTCCCTCCCCTCCAAGTGAAATCTCTTGTTGCAAGCAAGGAGTTTGCTGATGATATCTGTCTGCTGTCTCAAAGAAGAAAATTATAAGAAAAGTGGGAGTTATATCTGTACTCTGTTTTAGGTGTTACGTCTGCTAGGGATCATGGTTGCTGAGCTTTAACGTCAAATGCCATGGCTTTATTCACTTAAGAGTTGCAAAACAAGTGCTGCAGTTGTGTTCTAGGAGTATGACCTCAGTCTGGAAGTGTCAGCTTCAATTTAGATTAGTTTTGTTATGATTGTAAGTGCAATACATGTCTGCCAGCATATTCATGGTAAATGTGAATAAAAGCATGAAACAACTGCATTTTTTACAATTGCTGTCAGCATAAAAGCCAAATATGTATGTCCAGAGAATTTCCCAGTCCAACAGCAAATGTCTCTCTCTTACCACCCCCCATTTCTTCTTCCATCCGTGCTCCCTTACCCCCTCCTCCCCACTTCATTCCCTTCTATCCTCTCAAAAAAAACCAAACCAAAATACTGCAGGAAAAAGCTATGCCCTCCAAAAGATTCTGGCAGGAACACCTCTATAATGAAGATATGAAAGTGTGCTTTTTATACATTTTGTCTTGAATGTCTGCTGAGAATGGAATGACAACAGATACTGTGATAAAACAAGAGTTTAAAGATCAAAGGCAAACTTTTTGCAACTGAAACAATTTATGTTTTTCTTTTTAAGGAACCTTTTAAAACGTTCTTAAAATAGTATAATAATTGTCATTTTATCTAGACTGAAGTGAGTCTAGGGTATTGTGTTTGAGAATTCTATCTTGATTTAAATTATGAATTGATGATAAAGTGAAACTGTTTGCAAAGATGGTATTTTTAGATGACCTACAGCTTATGTTTTTCTCAACAATACTGAAATGCTATTGTTTCTACATATATTCCATCTCACTACATGTTCATATTTAGTCTTATATCCATACATACTAGTAGTGTTCGTACCTTTTGGAGTCGGCAGGTTATTAGGAGGTGTGTTTTACATGTAGGAGGAAGGAAGGAGTGGGATCCAAGAGTACTTTGAAATTGATGTTTGATACCATTTTTTCGTTAGTATGGTTTCTTCCTCTGTCTCACTTGTAAATTAGTTATTTTTATTTATCATTTTCTGTTCTTTGTTATACCAATGCATTACTAGCACATTGAAATAGAACATAAGTCAGAATAAAAATAATGCTCACTTTACCTATGCAAATAGTATAGTTGAATTTATCGTTTTAGTCATATAGAATGGCAAATAGGATTTTGTGCTGCAAAGTAGGACTTTATTTTTATATCCCATCCTTTACATCATTAAATTAATGCTGCATTGGGAGGCTGAAGTTAAGAATTTAGTGATCTGTTTGCTTTTACATTTTATACTTTACGTGAATCTGTCACAAGAATGTATGTGGTATTTAAAAAGTTCTGTTCAAATTATGGTAATAATTCACTGGAAATTTAATTTAATTGTGTAAGATAAAACATTCAGTAGAATCTTATTGTATTTTACGTTATTTTGCATATACGTGGTATGTTTCTCCTGTGCTGATACTAAAATATGGACTAAGTTGGGTTTGTGACATTTTGTACATTGTTAATATAGCTAGTCAGTAGTTAGTGCTTCAAATACACTCTCTTCAAGCTAGACACCTCTATTTAGCTTCATGTTGTCAAAAGAAAGATTTAAATTTATTATTACTCTTTTGCTGTTTTTGAAGGCATTGATGCTTTGGATGGATACATGCCATTTACTCACTACTTGTATATGAAAAAATATAATTGAAGGTTAGCATCTGGAAATAAGGACATGGAAATTCCAGTAATAGGTCACATTAGTGTTGTAGGAAGGTCGTTGTTCCTACCAGTGATAGAAGTTTCAGGGAAAAACATACGAAAAGCTTAGGATGAGCTCTAAAAAAATTTTCCTGTAAGTACAGCTGTATTTTAATCCTTCAGGCAAAAATGTTAGTTTACTATTGCAGCATTAGAGAAAAATCCCTTCTGTTGCTGGTAATCTTTGATATCCTTGTGATTCATGCAGATGTCCAATTTTCCTCTTTGGAACTGAATTAACATATCCTGTATTTTAGTAACTTAAATGGTAAGCTAGGTGTGATTTGATTATCTGAAATGGAAGCATTTCTTCTTCTAACACTTAAAGTTCATGATGAATTTCCAAATAAAATTAAACAGAAGTTCTCAGTCTGTCATATTAGCTTTGTATATTGCTGTCATGTTTCCTCTTGCTAGTGGTTTGTGTGGAGCCCCAGATTATCCAGAACTTCTTACAGGCCTCTGATTACTGATAACCTCTTTCTCTGAATACACGTTATTTCATTTCTACTCTATCCTCTTTTTTAGACAGGGGGACCAGAGCTGAATACATTTTTTCAGATGAGGGCAAGCCATTCATTAATGTAATGACATTTTTTTTCTGGTGTTATTTTCCATCACATTTTTTTGCATCCCAATACTTGTTTCCTTTTTGACCACCACTGCAAACCAGCACACCTATGGCTGGAAGGGAAAATATGTGTAGGTAAAGCACTTAGACATGTACACTTGTGTGCTGAGGAAGAGAAGCACATAAGAAGCGTGATACAAGCTACAGAGCAACCATTTGAAAGCAAGATTTAACTGGAATTTGTGTCAGAGAACTTGATATGGATAATTTGATGGAAATACTTAATCCTGACAAAAAGAGATTGGAAAGGAAATACATTTTAAACCCCCCCAAAATCTAAACCACACAGACTATTGATATATGACAGGCTTTTTTCTTACCTTTTTCCATTTTTAAACTAGAGATAGATTATAAAAGACTGTAATTTCCCATTTTAGTCCAGTGACGTGTTGTGTACTGTAAAGTAAGAGAAACTGAACTAAAACTCTATGCACTGTACTCTTCAGTACTTCAAGATAAATATGTTTGTCATGCTGTAGCTCTGATTTTTTTTTTCCCCTCATTGTTTTGGTTCACCCAATGTCTGAATTTTCATGAACTTTCTTTTAATAGGCAGAGAGATCAAGAAAGAAAAGAAGCAGAAGAAGCTAGTCAGAAAGAAATAGAAGAATGGGAAAAATCACTTTTAGCTCAAGCAGCACCTACAAGGATGGAGATGATGTGGGAGATTCCAGCTATTGGTCATTTTCTTTGTTTAGCACAACAGATTTTAAATTTACCTGAAATAGTATTCTATGAATTGGAACGCTGTCTTCTGATGCCTCAGTGTAATGTTTTTTTATCTAAAATAATGACTTCTTTGTTAAGTCCTCCTCATCGCAGATCTACGTTACACCGCAGGCCGACATTTTCTTACAGGACTTGGGAAGCAGCACTGAGAAAAAAAGTACAACACTGGTACACTGTTGTAGGGCAGACTGACAATCCTAATGGTGCTGCAGAAAAACTTGGCTTGTGTCCCCAGTTTTTCAAAGTGCTCGGAGAAGTTAATCCCTTGGAAGAAAAACCATTTCATGAGCTACCATTCTACCAAAAAGTATGGCTGCTGAAAGGTCTCTGTGACTTTGTGTATGAAACACAAAAGGATGTTCAGGATGCAGTGCTAGGTCAGCCTATCCACGAATGCAGAGAAGTAATTCTTGGTTATGACTGCTTGGAGAATGCATATGTTCATTTTCCACAGTTCTGTGGTGCGGATGTTCGGATTTACAAACAAAAACCTTTTCAGGCTCCTGAATTCCCATCTCTTCCCATCAAAGTTAAAAAAGTGCCACGTATTAAATCGGAAAGAGTAAAACATGAATATGTAGCCAAAAGCAATGGGGAGGTCAGTTCTCCTGGTAGAGAACTGCTACATCATTCCAAGACAGAAGTAGAGAAAAGTATGGACTCTGTCGTTATCTGTCCAGAAAAACCCCCACATTTAGGCACCTTTAGAGTCCGTACAGGGGAGATAAACTGTGAAATCAAAGCCTCAGGAGTCTGTGACATCAAGAAAAGTGTTTATTATAAAGAGAACTTGAGGAATTTGATTACTTCAGGAAAGATTGTTGGTATGGGTGGTGACTCTAGTTCAAGAGAAATAACAGATTGGGAGAATGCACAAAGTTGTGCTGAAATGGCCAGACTAAGATCTGATACGAGTCCGTTCAAGGAGAACACACTGAAAGCTTGCCAAGTGCATGTCAATGGCACTTACAATAATAACCAAGACATCAGTTACCATGAATCTGCTAAAGAAACAGTGCTAGAGAACTCACTGCGTCATAATAAGAAACTAAATAAGATACTAGCAAAAAAGAAGAAAAAGAAAAAAAAGAAGTTGAAGGATATTCTAAATGAAAATCTACAGAGAAAACTTGATGACCTGCAAAGAAAGCGTGAGATTCATCTTCATCCATTCAAATCTTATAAATCTGAACTCCAGAACAAGTTGTTTATAATTAAAAAGAAAGCAAAACACAAGAAGCACAAATCTGGTAAGTTGACTTTCTTACCTGTAGTAAAAATTAGGAGGATACTGATTTCTTTTTTAAGCTGCATTTTTAGCTGATAAATCTGTATTTTATTTTGTGAAACAGGACAGCATTATTGGATTAGACATTTCAGTTATTAATTTTAGAGTGAAAGTTTCCCATATAAAGCATGTAAAACAGGCTCATCAGCTGATTAAACGATAATTCATTTGCAGAATTTAGAGAACATAATACATTTGGAGAGGTTGTTTGTTGCAAAAAATATTTAGAAGAATGAATGCAACTGACTTGTTAGCATCAGAGAGTGTCACTTGAAGTCATTTTATGGTGTCTTATGTTATAGCAGTTATGGAAATGTTTCTCCCCTTTCTGGTAATATTACCTTATCCAAATTATGAAGAAACACAGAGTAATTACATGAGATCGTGAATCTAAAGCCATATCAGAACTGTGCAGTCTTAGGTCACCAAACAGTACTGCTTTAACTGTGGGCCTGATTACTGAGTCCAACAACTGGGATGCAGAGTTTATGCTGATGGCATTCTTATTACAGATTTGAGCAGCATCTAGCTAAGTGTTTCAGGTAGGTGATATACAATCCAGATTTCAATTAACTCACTGGAAAATTTTAAAGCTATTTGAAAAAAGTTTTCAAAATCCTTAAGTCAGTTCAAATTGTCAGGTAGCTGTAGTATTTTTGATGGCATACGAAGCACCATAAGAGCTTCATTCTGTTCAGTCCTGGACTAAGCTATCTGTGCTAGATTTTAGCAGACTGCTTAAAACATTATATTTTTCAAAGTGACAAGCTACTTTTCAGAACAGTATAAACTGATAGATTTCATCTGAAAAGTGGAAAGCCAAAATGAAAAATCTGGATAACAGCAAAATGTCTTCTAAAGGGCAAGAAAATTCCAAGATCTGATGCCAGTGCATTTTACTAAAAGTTAAAATTTAAAGCTAAGGAAACAAGAAATACCTAGATCCCAAATATTTGTGCATAATACCTAAAGAACTCTCTTAGCATTTAAATCACAAATTCCTCCTTCCAAAAAATTTCAATGCCCACATCTCACCAGAAATTTTTAAAGTTGCAGCTGAAGTTCATATGTCATATTCAGCAGGACTAATGTATCTTACGTTCACTTGTGCAACTGTTAGCTCTCCAAAAGTGTCACTGTTTTCATTTTTCTTAAAACGAAACAAAATGAATAATAACCCAAATTGCAAATAAGGACTCTTTAGTTTATAGAACTGTTGTCTTTTATCTCTTAATATGCTGAGGCATTTTCCATCATATTTTGACCACCCTTCATTGCAAGTTGACCTTGCTGGAGAAAGTTTTCCTAAAACTTTACAGCATTGCAAGAAAGAGCTATTCTTCCTATGCTTGTTAAATGTCCATTTATCCTGTACCTGTTAGGCTGAAATGGATACTATTAGATTCAATTCATGCTAATGCCTTGTTGTTCTGTAGTGTTTCATAATGTTTTAGGCTAAGTAGTATTCGTCAAAGATCAGCTGAAATGAAAATCTTCCATTGAAAGATTCCCTTACAGTGTAGAACAGAAAAAGAGATTTGGTAAAACCTGGTTTGAATTCACAGTGACATTTAAGTCTTATCCTGGCCATAATCACTCTTTACAACATTCTTAAAACAGTGCAGTGGGTAGAAGAGAGCATCAGGAATGTAAAAGTGAGTACCTTTCCTTACTTTTAAACAAAATTATTTTTTTTTCCTGCTTACTGGTTCTCTCAGGCAGCTAAATGTAACTTTGAGTCACAGTTTGTATTTCTGTTGAGATGATTTGCACACTCCTGGCTCGCTGTAGCAGTGGTAGTACTCATCATGAATACAGCCTGGTTGTGCAGCTTTTCTAGCTGAAAATTTCCCAGAACTATTGTGAGGAAAACTTACTGGAGAACACAGCTGTGTTATGACCTTTGCCATAATGACAAGGTTTTCTTACGATTTATGAAAAGGTGTAACCACTGCACTGAATCTTTGTCTTTGAAAGAAGATGGTGGTTATTACTGTGGCAATGTTCTGTGTCAGTATTATTAACAGAGTAGTACTGAATAAGGTGGAAATACAGAATCAGAACAGTTCTGTAAACAACTTGCATGCTATGCATTCATTTTTAAATGTGATTTTGTTACTGGAGTTAGATAAATTAGACTATACATCTCGAATTAGAGTTTGACAATGGTGATAAGGCTTGTTGGATCTGGACTAAGACAGCTATGCTGAAGTAAATTGTGGGGTGCAATAAAGGTTTCAGTGCAAGGCACACTACAAAAGCATGAGAATCCTGTGATTACATGTTTGAAACAGGGATTGGATGAAATTTAGAATAACTGTAGGGTTGAGAAAATAGGAGTCACCAGAGGCTGCTTGAAATAACTGTGATGGGCCTGAAGCAAAGGTTGGAGTAAGTTGAATCTCTTTATATTGCAATTGGTGTAAAAAACAACAATACAACACAGAACTTTAGAAGAACTTTGATGTAAATTGTATACTCATGCTCTGAAAAATTCACAGCAGTTTACTGCTCAAAGTCCATTTCACAGTATATTTTATTTCTTTAGAGTACCATTACTTCTTGTGTATGAAGTCAAGTGTTGCTTGAATGTGAAGAAATGGGCTAAAAGGCCTGGCAGCAATTTTGTAGGGCCCGGTTTACTGTCCTTGGGAGTTTAATCTTCAGAAGTCTTTTGTCTTCGGTGTTGTAAAAGCTTTGTTGTAGAGTTGTCTGGCCTCTAGATATGGAACAGCTTGTTAATCATGTTGAAAACATTGAGAACTATTCCACCAAGTTGTAACAAGGTACACAATTCTCATTAAGCTTCAGTGTCTTCAGAAACATGCACCATTGAGGTTTTATACGGTTTCCCTACATTGTTCTTTAAATCTACATTATTAATGCACTTGTCCAGACCTGTTTTGGTCTTTCGACTCTATAAAAGCATATGCTGTGTCAGCATGGAAGCTTCAAAACCCTATCATGATGCTTCATTTTCCAGATTGTAGCATATTTTATTTTGTAAAGGAAGAGTTGTTGGGAGCAAGGAGCAGGATAGAAGATTAGGAGACTAAAGAGGAAGTAGGACATCCTCAGTAGTTACCAAATCTTTGAAAGGCATGAAATGTGTCATACAGATTTGTTGACAGAAAGATACAGGTCCTATTCTTCAATTTGAGAACGGTGGAGTTGCACCTAGAATGCAACGAAAACAGAAATTCTTGCAGTTGGAAGGGGCTAACTTAACTGTGTTTTACTGTGGCAAATACTATGGAGTTAGTATTTGATGTTAAACACGTCCATTGCCCCATCTGGGGTAATAAGACCCGACTGCATATGCAGTAAAAACTCCCTTTTTATAAAAAAATATTATTCAAATAAGTTTTTATTTAAAATTGCTCTCTGTTGTCATTTTATATTTTGTAGCATGGATTAATATTACTTCTTCAGGAAGCCACAAGGACTCAAATATCTGAGTTTATAATAAAAAGTTTTACTAGGTCTGTAAAAACGTTCCTGTTTTCAAGTCAAAAGGATTCTAATGTAGAACAACTTAGAGGTCCTTGCTGAAGAAATTTATGAGAACATTCCAGTGGCTTAGTATTTTGTCATTTTTATTCTTCTAAAGTAGTACTAGAAGAGATCTGAATTTCTAATTTTTTTGTTTCCCCTCCTTCACCCTCAGATGGCAAGACTAACTTGAGAAGGCTTATGCTTTGGTTGTATTTAATCTCCCTAGAGTGTTTTTTGGATGCTTGTAACTAGTTTTCAGGTCCTAGTTGTTATGCTGCCTTGTTAGTTGCTTACACATCTATTCAGTAATAACATCTGTGGAGTTTGTTTTGGCTTGGAAGGAAAACCTGTGGCAGCCAGACATCTCTTGGACCTACTGAACTTAAATTTAACATTTAAGAATTTTCACAGAGTTGGCTAAGGGGCTCTTGGTTAGTAAAATGTTGATTTCCTGTGAAACTTACAACAGAAGTGTTCCAAGATCTATGGATCTAGATTTGTTTTTTACTTTCAGCAATTTGTTTAAAAATGACTTGATGACAATTATAAGCATGGAGAATGAAAATCAATAAAACCAACCTCTTAACTATCAGTCAAAAGTATGAAATAATCCAGTCTCTTGGGATTTGTAGTTGAGATTAGAGGTTAACTCAAAACAGTATTGAGTCAGGGAAGTGATATTTCTTCTGCCTTACCTATTGTGATCACCATCAATTTGGCATTAATTAGCTTCTTAAATTAAGAAGCAGTGATGTAAGAAATTATGTCACACATTTAATTTGGTTTAGTTTTACTTATTTATTATAAAAAGCTCTGTCTTTACTTTGAGACTGAATCATACATGAAATCTAGAGTACAGTGTTATAAACAATAAAAATATTTCAGTGCTTTCTATTGTGATGTTCACTTGCTTTGAAATTAGCTTTTCTCAGAATAGCATGTTTTGTGTTCAGTGCTTTCACTAACCTCAGATATTGGTTTATTCTAATACTCACTATACAGGTTTCTGCCCTCATTGTCCTTCAGGCACCAAACACTGAGTGGACAAGGCAGTATCCAAGTGAATGCTGCTTGTGTCTGCTGAACACAGTTTTCAGCTTTTTTGGCAGATAAGTACAGGGTGGCTTAAGTAAGTTTACTGTGGAAAACGTGTTTTGCTGCATTTCTGCTGCGAGAGAGGTTTGTTTTCATTCAGACAAAACAATGGCGTGTTAGCTAAAATGTTTCACAACTGCACTGTTCTTTACTGCAGAGCGTATGCATTTTGACAGTGCTCTTGTTTCAATTTAATATGCAAGTAGTTTGTTTCAGCAGGTAAAGTCAGAAAATGTGCAAATTGAGTTTTTGGGCTCTGATGCTGCCAACTGTAGGCATAGGTTGGTCACGTTACTGGAGAGAAATTTTACTTCAAGTCAATAAATAATTTCGGTTTATATACACAGGTAATTGAATTATGGTTTAAATTAGGATAAGCTTTGTTATGGTTTGCTTGAAGAATAAAGTGATTGAGTATTTTCCCTTTATTCTCTGGTAGAGAAAGAAAAGTACTCTGTATTCGTTGTACAGTCCTGATTCATTTACTGCACATGAAAAGAATGACCTGGGACATCTGTAGTTGTCCACTCTCTGGCATCAGAAGTGGCTTAGCTGTGAGTGCTGGAGGTGGTATAAAAAGAGCTGATCCTCTCCTGCAGTGCGGGAGGGGAAAAGGAACGATAGTTACAACTTCCATTTCAGGTACAGGATGTCTCAGTCTCTTCCCCTCTGAACTGAAAACAAGCTGAAATATGGAGCCTGTTGGAAAGGGAAGTGGGGAGACATAATTAGTAATTGTTGGACAGTAAATTGTTTGTGAGTGAATGTAAAAGTTACACAGCAATAATATATATAGGCTGACAGTTCCTAGCTTTAGAACAGTGCTATTTGCAGCTAAGTATGTTTTTCAATATAATTTTGATGTGTATGTTTGAATACAAACCAGTTGTTTGTTTGTTTGTTTGTTTTAATCTAGTAATGTTTTTTTTATAATCCTGGTAATAAATAAAGCACTTTTTTTTTTTTAAGAAGTGTTGGCTATATTTGAAATTGAACTTTATATAAAAAAGAAGTAAAACTTTCATCTTTATCACAAGTATTGCCCAATAGTGGAAAAGGAATAAGAATAAATCAGTATTTATTTATCAGTATTTATAAAATATTTATCAAACACTTGTCTGAGTAAACATAATTTAATGTAGCTATTGCTGGATAGGGAGGCCACTGTTAGTGCCTCAGAATGATAGGGCTAACAACAGCTTTCGTATACTTCCAACTGTTGAGGGAGAAGGCCTCTTCAACTGTTTCAAGATCATGATTTTCTTTGGATTTCTTGGTTTAGTTTGGGAAACTCTTTATTTGTTTTGATGGAGAGTGTTTTTCTCATTTAAGTCTTACCTGATTGTGGAGAAAGGTAACAAAATTGATTGGGCAAAACTATTGTTTGCTTTGTCTTCCTTCTGAGCAGTGCAGTCCTGAGTTAGTGATTCCTATGTGTTTGTTAATAATATGTGTGTACTGGGCAAGGCAGACTTTTTTAAAAGGTCACACACTGTAGAAATGCTGGTTGGAGGGAACATCTGGAGGTCATCTGCTCTGATTCCTTGTTTGGAGCAGAACTGAGATGAATACCAGAGCAGGTCAGATGTAACTTGAAGATCTCTTAAGATGGAAATCAGATTATTGAACCGCTGTTACCCTTCCCTCTCTGAAAACTTTTGTACTGAAATTGGTGTATTATTTTGTCTGTGTGTAGAACTCTTTCTACATGCTTTATAAAATATGGCTAGTAAAAGGTGGAATCTGGGGGGATGGGAAGGGAGCAGGCTGTGTTGAATTGAATAGATGAGCTGAAAAGATTCCTTATTAGAAATATTTATTTTCATTATCTTAGATTTTTCTAAGTTTTTCTAACTGATTGTTGTTAGTCAGCAATTAAATATATTTGCACGTCGAGTATACTCTGAAATGTACGGTCACTGAGATCTGGCTGCTGTCAAAAACATTACTTCATCTGGTAAGGAATTAATATAAGCTATTTGAAATACTTACTTTACTTATGATTATGGGCAAGTACTTCCTTGGTTTTTTAATTGTTTATTATTCTTTCTAACAGTTTTCTATCTCTTTGTCACAAGGATATATTGGGGAAAAGAGAGAGAGTATTTCTGTTAACTGTTATTTTTTGAAGTGCAGTGCATCATAAATCAGACTGCACCACGCACTGAAAATATCCAAGTAAACATTTGTTGAAAAGTATGTAAAAATATTCAAGTAAAGTGAAAATTTCCTTTTAAACATATTCAAATCTTCCTTTTTGTAAGGAAGCAAGACAGTCTAGCTGCCATATTTTTTTATCTTTTCATATTCTTTCCAGATAACATTTTTTTACAGGGCTATAACAAGGAACGACTAGACTTCTTTTTGAGTCAATTTGTCAAGAAAGGTTATAAGTGTCTACTTTAGCTGAGTAAGTGGACAGCAGTGCTCTCAGTAGTAGCAATTATGTTTTCAATGCAACTGTATCCATTAAGTATATAACAAAAATGGTAACTTATCTGCCCCTTGTCGGGTTGTTTGGGTTGTTCTAATAAACATGCTTCTCTGTTTTATCACTTGTTCTCTAGTGTGAAATATGTGTTTCTTTTTAGTAATTGAGGGTTCTTTAAATTTTTTAATGTGTTCAGTATGGGGATTTTCAAATCTAGGCTGGTTTAGTGTTTTTTATATAGTTTGATTTAATGTGGAGTTTCAGCTCTAGATTCTTCAAGCCCTGTGCCTTGCCCTTTAAGTGTGTTTATTTCAGCTTCAGGTAAGATGATCATGAAACTCATAGTATAATAAATGAAAATAGAGATACCTAGGCATCTATAGAATAGAATGGATGCCTAGGAATAGTTGTATGTAAATGTACTTCTGCATTTGCCCGCACAAGAAAACGTGTGTTATGAAAAAGCTAAATGCAATATTTACCAATATTTTCATTAATATATATATTGAATGAATCTGTGCTTGTGTTATTACCAAGTACCAGTAATTATGCTAGTTGACAAAAAATTCCACATTTTGTGATTTTTTTTTCAAGTTCTTTTTTTGTTTAAGGTCTGTAACTCTTTTTTAAGACTCCAAAATGTGAACACAGTAGTAATGTTAGAATGATGGTCTTGGCCTGAGTGAGCAAGTTAAAAGTGATTTTATTTCAATTTACTGTATGAATGTAGAAATAACCATATAAGAGGCTCTCCTGTCCGGCGTATATTGGTTAGTGACATAACTACTTGATTTGAGACATGAATGTCAGAGCTCTGACACTGTAGGTAGTAAAGCACCTGCCTTACCTTTAAAGGGATTTTTTTGTACATGCCTGTTCTTATATAGCACAGATGGGTGTAAACTGCATTATAGAAAGGTGTTTGGTTTCTTCTAAAACTGTTAGGTTTTGCTGCAGCCAGAAAAAACAAATCCGTAATCTGATTTCATTGGTAACTTCAGTATGTTCAGTCAGGGATTTCTAGATATTGCTTGTGCTTTGAGGGTATCTTTTTACTATATGGTACAGAGATCCCAGATCCTAATGTGTGATTCGCTTTACAATGTCAGAGAACAAATCTTGCAGGTAAGATGCAATATTTCTTAAGTTTGTGCCTTAAGTTCTGGATTTCACTCCTTTCAGAAGAGTGGTGTAAATGTTTCCTTTGTGATTGAAATTTTTAGGTGCTGTATTATTGGAATTGCACTGGGTTTATTCCTTTTCTTCTTTTTTCTTCTTTTTTTTTCTTTTTTTTCCTTCCCCCAACCTCGAAAGACTGCACTACACAGATACCTGTTTAATGTTTGCTTTTACTGAGCCTAGGTCTGATTCATCATGTTTACATGACTTATTGTAAGCTTACAGTTTAATTTTCAAGTCTGTATATAACTTGGTTTTATTAATTAAGTACAACAAACAGCATTATGAAGCTTTTCTCTTTTAATCTTACAAGGAAAAAAATCGCTTACTAAAAAAGCAATCACAAAGAAGAGGAAGGGTGTCAGAAAGTCTACCATACCAGAATTTCAGGTAAATTATTTTAATTTTTGTTTTAAGCACTTGAAATCTGAATCCTTTTGTTTCTGATAGAGATATTGGAAATCTTTCTTTTAGTTTAAGAGGCTTAACCTGATAGTATTTTTAAAAGCGCATTTCACCTTTTCTTGGTAAAGAATGTTTTAGCATTTTTATTAAGTGCAGCTTGCACACTGTTCCACAATGTTCTTTAGGATCCCAGATATATCTGTTACTATATAAAACCTATAAAAGCTAGGAGTTGTTAATTAAATTTTTAAGGTACATACAATTTTCTGGGATAAAATTATGTGGGTTTTGTATGGGGTGTGACAATGAGGTTCTTTAATTGAAATCCATCTTGGTTCACTGGAGGACTTGCAAAAAATTTACAGGCAACGATGCTCACCTTGCTTGGAACTTTTATTGCTTGTCTGTATGTGACTTCAGGGCCAGAGAGCACCAAGAGTATTAATTATGATAATGTGGTTTTATGGTGCTGTAGAAGAAGTGTTAAAGTGCTTCAGTTCTGAGTTGCTATTTATGTATGCATGCCTGCTTTGGATTGAAGTTCTTGTTTGGCTTTTTTTCTTTTCTTCAGAAAGCAATCTGTGCTATTTTGATGAGTTGACCCACATTAAATCATAACTGTTTTCTGAAACACTCACACCAAATCAGTTTATTGCAACCTGCTGCTGCTGATTATGTGTTTCAGATGGAGCTAGTAGAATTTCTGGTGATAAAATTGGTTAGTAACACTCAATAATGAGGAATGACTGACATTTAAGTGTAATCTATCTTTTGTCTGTATTGTAACAGTAGTGACTAAAATGTTCCCTAGCAGCTCCAAAAAATTGATGCAGTGTCTAAAAATTTTATTTTTCCAAGCACATTACCTGCACGCCATGGATATATGCAGTTAGGTTAGAAGTCCTTTTATTACAATATTAAACTACTGCATTTAAGTAGTGTGTTTAAAAGTTAGCCCAGCCTTTTAGCTAATCATGGTAAAATGTACATGCATTTACATATCTATCTAAGTGTATATTTATTTGTGTAAAAACTCAAAATGTAACATAATACTTCTGGCTCTTTTGTTCAAAGCTAGGAGTTATATCTGGTTTAGGTGAGGCTCAGATTGATTAGTATTGAGCAGTTTAATCTTATGAGGGAACTTTTTAACAACTTAACCTGCCTTTTTCAAGAGGACCAACAGGATTGGTGTGACTGTTAGAAGTATTTGCAAATATTAAAACACTTATATTTGGAATAATATTAAGACTTTTGGGATCTAGTAATGTATGCTTCAATATACTTTTCCCACATACACAGATAGCCAAACTTTATGAACTTATGTAACTGTTTGAAGTAACAAGTATATTTTTTAAATATTTGATAAAACAGCTTAAGCATATACAGGCCCCGTGAGATATGCAGGGAGGATATAACCACAGGTATATTGCTATTCTCATCTAAACATCAGTTCTTTTGGAATGAAAATTAATAAATGAAAATGTATAATATTTTTCATGTGCCTGCAGCCTACAAATGTAGAAAAAAACGCCAAACCAACCAGAAGACACTTTATTTTATAATATTAGGTTCTGTATTTAAGTATAGATCCCATACCTGAAAATCATAACTTGAGTAAATTAAGTATTAATAAATCTTTTGATATGTGCAGTGACACAAATTATACATTAAAATCAAATATTTTAACAAAAATATTCAGGAGCTAATTGTACAATTAATTTTAACACTTATAATGCCTAACATTTTATAAAGGAAATTTTTTTTCTCCTGAGATTATGATAGGTGATTAGAAGACACGTTTTTCAAGAGCCATATGTGAAACTACCAGTAAGCTATCAGAATGTGACAAAATGATTAAATTGTAACATCAGTACCTGCCTTCATGTTAACTTACCCATGTAAAACATAGAACAATTTAGAAAGGCAGTGTTGTTCACAGGAAATGGAATTGCTTAGTTCCACCAAGTCTTTTTTTAAGTCCTTTTAAAATACTTAGTCTAAAATACATAAATTCTATGTCTAACACTTTCTAATAAAATTCTTAATTTTTTGGCTACAACAACAAGGAGCAAAGAACACTGAAACATAAATAAGTATCTCATTAGGAGAAATATGATCTAGATTCCATAAGAAAGTGATCATACAAAATACACTACACTTTGTTATTACTGTCCTTTTCATCTTTCCTTCAAAACACTGGCTTCATTCTGTAAGGTGGGAAATGTTAACCATGTGAGAGAAGTTTCAGAAACACTTACTTCCCAATCAGTATGCATCTTTTGCAAAAAGTGCCAGTTCTATGTTTTAATAGTGAAACAAAGACTTTTTTTAATATGACTTTGCTACAAATCTAAAACTGCACAGTTGTTTCTTTTATTGTAATTTTTTAATTTTCTTTAATTATTTTAACACATTTTCAGTAATAATGAAAAGATTTTCATCCAAGGGTGTTCAGAAAAAGCAAGTCTTAACATACAATAACCTGCAAGAACCCAACACTGTAATAATTTCCAGTTTATGAAGTCTTAAACTGACCTAAATGATGATAAGACAAAATATAAAGATTACTTTTGCTTTATGTTTTTTTCAAGAAGATAGCATCCATTTCCTGAAAGGAGAAATGTAAAAAAGCTGATTTTAAAGTCAGGAATAGGAATATAATGCTTTCCCAAAACACACACAAATAGGTAGATCTGGTAGATAACTAGGTTACCTTAGTATCATAAATCAGCAAGGTTGGAAGAGTCCTCCAAGATCATCCAGTCCAGCCAGCACCCAGCACTACCACTGTAACCCCTAAACCATGTCACCAGATCCAAATGTGTCTTGAACACCTCCAAGAATGGAATACTCTGTGTCAATATGTAAAGCTATGTCCAGGAAAAAGTTGTAACAAGTGCCAAATATTATAAGCACAGAATACTCCAAAACTAGTATACTTTAATTCACCAGGGAGCTGTTTGGAACTCAAAGATGTTCCAACTCATTACTGCACTTGAGACAAATGTGGTAGTTGTCATTCACAGAAGTTTTAAGAAAATACCTACATGTTGAAATGGAAGCTTACAGGTGGAGATATGATTTATGTCTTTTAGATTTTCTTGCTTTCAACAAGTCCTGCTTTTTTTTTTAAAAAAAACTTTTAAAAATGCTGTAAGAAAATAAAAATCAAATGGTAGCATTAAGTAATACCGTGCTTTTACATTTTATTTAACTTCGTTGTATGTTTTCCAAGTCCCCCATCACCGAGTGTTTGTGTTCATTTGTTTTTTAGCTTATTTGCACTAATCTTGATGAACTCAGGGAATTAATCACAAAGATTGAGAATGAACTCAAAGATCTGGAGGACATTAAAAAGAAATCGGTATGTGACCTTAACAGCTTTCTCTTGCATGGATATAAAACAGTGCTAGTTACTTACTGAGGCCTCTCAACTGAAGATTTTTATGCTGTTCAATAACTGCATAAAGCCTCATATGGTTGATACCTAGAGACGGTAATTTTAGTCTTTCCTGTATGTAGTGCTGTGTTCTCAATGTTTTTATAAGTGAATTCAGTAACTGTGTTAACACTTTTGCCAAAATAAATTTCAATAGTGGCAATACCTTAGCAGGAGTAATTAATTTCTATTAAACATGTTAACATTCTGCCCTGAGGACAAATCCTTACCAACAAGCAATTACAGGATAGAATTCTCGTATCTGCCTATGCAGAAGTGATCAGAACTTCCAGTAAGCTGACTCCTATATTGTTCATTGGGGTTCCTAACTCCTTTTGTTTGCAAGTAAGTTATTAAAATTGGCTTTCTTTAATTTTTAATAAAGTAGGTTGTACCAGTAAACATGCTGTCTGGCTTTTGATATCAGATTGAGACACAAATTTTACCAATGTACGCTGGATCACTCAGTCTGTGCAGCTGAAAACCACAAATGAGTAACGGTTAGACAAGAGAATCCAATATGTTTTGGCTTTTGTAAGAGGCAGTGATTTTAATTAAGATTTAATTAGATAAGTTTAAATACATGAAAAGTACTCATTTAAATTCCCCTTTTTAGTGAATTCTTCTTACTTTTTTCATTGTAGTTCTGTTTATTGAACTAGGCATTTCCATGGCATTTCTATAAAAGGTGGTAGATAAAAATGTTGCTTTTCTAAACCTTAGAAACTAGGCTGCTTTTAATTCACGTGAATGTCTACAGTCGCATGCAGAAACAATTTAAGAATAGATTTTTTAAATAGAGGAGAGACATGTAGGAAAGAGGCAATATAAATTAGGACTCAGAAAGACAAATTTATGTGCACTCAGCATAATAATTGTTAAAATATCCAAGGGAGTAAAACCAGCCTTATCTTGAAATTATTTTGCAGCTACTAAATTGCAAATTGGTTTTATGGTAAAAATGTCAAGAGGTTATCAGAAAGGTTATGTCAACAATAGAAGAAAAAGCCAAAAAATGGGAGTATGCTACAGCATTTCTATAATCTTAGTGTAGGTGAGGCTTTTAGTCTGCTAGTAAAACTGTATGAACAAGATTTCTTCAAGGGTAGACAAATGCTAAATATGTCATAATTGCTCTTTGAACTGAAATCTGATAATGTCATTATGTAAGTAAGTTGCATGACTTCAGCAGGAATACTATGTTTAGTTCTAATGCACTGTCTTAAAAAAACCAAACACTTAAGTGCAGGGGAGTTAAGATTCAGCATTCGGAAGTTGTGAGGTAAGGACAGTCTTTCTTGTGCTTGTATAGACCTATCAGATTGTGATTCTGGGTCTCTAAACACTTTTGTTGTTAGAAATTTTACGTAAAGAAAAAGAGTTAGGATTAATTGCTGAGGAAGTGATTATGAGGAAACAGTAAAGTTAAATACTGATCTTTAAAAACATAATTATTAGGGAAGTTTCATGTTTTCCTTTCAAACATGCAAATTGAAAGATATTAAATTAGATGAATAATCATAAATTTGACATGCTAAATTTAGGTTTCAGTTTGTAAGGAAAGTCATTAGGATATCACTTATGATGTCTAATACTATTTGCAATTATGTTAGGAGAAAAATTGGAGAAAACCCAGATTTTTATTCTTCAGCCCTGACCAAATGACAGTAGCAGTTTCAGAAGCATCTAGAATCAAGTTTTTTCAGTTTTTCTGACTATTAAGTAAAACATTGTTTTAATTTGATAATGGAAGTAGGACCTAATGTGAAAGCTTATTTTAATATGATGGTATTTATATATGCTGTTCATGGACTTTTTTCTTGTTTTGACCCAAAGATGGTGATGTTCTTACTACTTCATGGTAACTTTATTGATTTTTGTTTGCAGTAGTGACCTGGGTAGAGCCATAGGAATCTTCTTCACAGCTAACCCCCTTAGTAATTTCAGTTTTAGTAGTTGCTAGCACATGCTGCTGAGAAAAACCCTCAAGGCAAGCTTTAATGTTATATTAATTACTAATACACATTAGAAATACAGCTTGTCTAACTGATAGTAACACTTTTAAATATAACCTTTTCTTAGTCCTAACCTCCCTTTTGTTTCCTAGAAGACCTTTCTAGAGTGCATAAAAGGAATTCCTTCTCCAGAACTTGGCAGTAGTGGAGACTATAATGAGAGAGCGGTGCTGTAACACGTTTTTAACATGAATAAACTTACTATTTTCCCACAGTTTTTTATAGGTAGTTGGACTGGTTGTATATGACACGTTTCAGAACATCAGCTTGAGACAACAAATGACATGATTTTTGTTTGGCATGTTAAAAGCAAATTAGAACAGAGTTATGTAATGGAAAGCCATGGGTAATTTTAAGTGTGAACATTTCAAAAAGCTTCTTCCACAACAATGAAGTCATAAATCTGCTTTGTTGATTAAGACAGTTTGTTTCTTTACTCTTGTACACTGTATTGTCTTTTGAATTAGTTATGAGTAGTATTTTTCCTTTTAAAAAGTTTTGCTCTTTTGATTGGTTTCTGGTGAGTTTGTTGTACCAATTGTGAGATTTGCTTAGTGCTAGTTCACTGTAACTGTTTAGAGAGGAGAATTAAATTTGACCTCAGTTCTTTAACTTGGAACAGAGTTCAACTCTGTGCTTGAACTCCAGCCACAGTTCTGAAGTGACACTGCAATTTCACATATGCTTTCAACTGACATAAGCCAAAACTGCTGCCAAATAAGTTGTCCCTACTCTCTCTGTCTCTGGAAGCTTCTATTTTGTGTACCACCCCATGAGAGAGACTAGCAAAATTCTTTGTTCAGCTGCATGGTGAGAGAGTTAGTCTGTGGTAAACCTAACTACTCTTTTTCCGCTGCTGAGTTTTTTTAACCCAGATCAGTTTTCTAGTGCAGTTTATCATGCAGTTGCGCAAATACCTGTGCTTGTATTCTGCCAGAGTCTGAGCAGTCATTGTAAGAACAGGAATGAGCATCTGTGGGGAAAAGAAAATCTCTTCAACTACTAAACAGTTCTATTTATTATATTTAATATATCTACTATATATAACATATCCAGAAGAAGACGAGAAATCAAATTAGTGAGACTTACTGTTTGTTTGAGTGCTTGACAGGAAATCAGAAAGTGAAAGGTGCAGAAAGGAGACTTAAAGGACTTGTGCCTAATGTTCTGTACACTGTCTAGTGAAAGGATAGAGAATGGTTCCCTAAGGAATATCTAAGTTACAATCCCTAATTTTAAAATAGTATGACTGAAAACGCAGTAAAAATTGAATTAATAGAAAAAAATAGTGTGAAATTACATGTGGGAAATTACAAACAGTGAGTAGACAATTATAAATCTGAAGTAGAACTTTCTGGCTAAAAATTCTTCTGAGATCTTATTGTATTTTTACCTCTTATTTGCTGAAAATTTAGGCTGTAATATACATGGCTCTTCAGTTGAATGTGAGCTCTTAGAAATTTGCTGTAATTATCAAATTGATCAAGACATGGAAAGTAGCCTAATTCTACACTTGGAGTGCAGAAATAATAATAAAAATTATTATTGTTATTTTGTCAAACGTGATAGTGAAGCATTTTGCTAGTATATTTAGGATAACATAGAGACTTCTATCTAATATATGAAGTTTCTTTTATGAGAAGAGATGGTAAAGTAGCACCTCCTGTCCTGATCAGTATGCAAGATAACAACTATGAGTTTCTGACATTTTGGATCCCATTTTTCCATAGGTCTTCTGTGTCTGGTCAAATCAGTGGGAGTTGCAGCATGAGTGGAAATCTTCCTACTGCCTTGCAGATAATCAGCTTCTCTTGTGATCTGAAGTCATTTTGCTTTGTGTGTGTGAAACGCTTAATTAAGCCATTTTTCAGACCTTTTGTATGTACTTTACTGTTGCATATCGTAGCAAAAATTTTTTTTAATTTTTTTTTTCCCCAAACCCTTCTTGACATTGTGTAGTATTAAAGTGACAGGACTGCAGGTACTTGTATAAAATAATGAACCTCAATCTTCTTTTGCAGATACCATTTTGCAAGCTGACTTCGTAGTAAGAGTGTTTTAATGTAAAATTTGAACAGGAGCATTGAAAGATTTCTTATTTACTGAAATGCAAGACTTTATTTTGGTAGGACCATTGGATTTGACTCATTCCCTGCAAGTATGATCAGTAAATGAATTGCTGTCCAGGGAGTGAGAAGGGAGGCTGGAGCCTGGGATTCCTGTAGCTAAGTTGAGAAGGTTAAAATGGATAAAGGGCATTACCTTCCTGAGAAGGAGACCACTCTCTCCCTGTATAAAGAAAAAAGTCAGACAAACTTTGTTAAGGAAAGGAGAACTACTTAGTCAAAGGACACCAGCCATGTTAACAGCTAATTAGGGTTTGAAAAAAATCCATTGAAGATTTTATTGTTTATGGAGGTCTGTAACACCCTGGTGTTCTTGGCTTCATAATAAAAAAAGTAAAAAGCTCCCTTATAAAGGTTTTCAGTTCTGCTATTGTTCCTGGAGGTTAGGCAGTTAAATTAGACAGTCCTGGGACGGGTGGGAGTGGATAGGTGTTTTAGGCAGGTGAGTCAGAAGGGCTGAAAGCAAGCCGAGGTTTTCTGCAGCTTCAAGTCAATATCTCCTGCAAAAATACATATTTCAGAGAACACCTGAAAATTTAGAGAGAAAAACCCACGGGTTCAGGTCAGAAATATTTAGAACCTCAGACATAAATTAATTTATGAGGCTAATCAAAGGAATACATTGATCCAGGATGGAACATAATATTTTCCGTGTCTGCTTTTTTTGACGTTGCAAACAAGCTGCTGTTAAATTTGTTTGTACAAGGTGTAAGTATCTAAAGTTAGAGACTGTTTTCTGGATTTTTTTATTTGCTACATTTTATTTTAAAATATGTTAATATAT